ACATATAGACATATATACCGACGTAGGTAGAGAGATATGTCTACACACACATATATAAAATATGTATATAAATTGTAGTCCTGTGTTTGCGACTGGCTGGCCTGAACAGTTGCGAATTGCAGAGAGGCCACGGCAGACTTCCGTGAAGTGCAACAGCACAGGTGCGCCTTTGTAGAGGCACTAGGGCAAAAGAGCCCACTGCTGCGGTAACCTGCAAGAGTGCCGGGAGCTGCATACACGGGCATGAGCCGCGTCAGCCACGGTCAGAACCTGCTGCTGGGAGGCAACCTTGGACCAGAGCATTTCACCCCAGCACAGCCTTGAGGTGCTTCACAAGAGAGCAAAAAAAAGAGCTCAATTCTGCCTGCTGTCCGAAATTGTATTAAAACAGCATGTTGCTGTGTATTTTTAAGCGCCCCCGGCGCAGAAACATTCGTTTTCTGTTTGACCAACGGTCTTTGTTGTTGCATCCACACACCTGTGCGAACCTCTGCCGCGGTTTGGGCCCCCAAAGGATCAAGCCTCAAGGTACCCTGACCAGTCCAGGTTTCAAGGTTTGGGCTCCCTAAGGGTCCAAGGTCTGGCCCCCAAAGGTCCAAGTGTCAAGGTTTGGGCCCCAAAGGTCCAAATTAGGACCTCCAAAGGTCCAAGTTTCAAGCTTTGGGCCCCCAAAGGTCGAAGTTTGGCCCCTCAAAAGTCTAAGTTTCAAGGTTTGGGCCCCCAAAGATCCAAGTTTGGGCCCCCAAAAGTCCAAGTTTCAAGGTTTGCGAAAGGTCCAAGGTTCAAGTTTCAAGGTTTGGGCCCCCCCAACGGTCCAAGGTCGGGCTCCCAAAGGTCCAAGTTTCAAGGTTTGGGCCCCCAAAAGGACCAAGTTTGGGCCTCCAAATGTTCAAGTTTCAAGCGTTGGGCCCCCAAAGGTCCAACTTTCAAGGTTTAGGCCCCCAAAGGTCTAAGTTTCAAGGTTTGGGCCCCCAAAGATTCAAGCTTGGGCCCCCAAAGGTCCAAGTTTCAAGGTTTGGGAAAGGTCCAAGGTTGGGCCTCCAAAGGTCCAAGTTTCAAGGTTTGGACCCCCAAAGGTCCAGGTTTGGGCCCCCAACGGTCCGAGGTTGGACCTTCAAAGGTCCAAGTTTCAAAGTTTGGGCCCCCAAAGCTCCAAGTTTGGGCCCCCAAAGCTCCAAGTTTGGGCCCCCAAAGGTCCACCTTTCAAGGTTTGGGCGCCTAAAAGGCTTAAGTTTGGACCCCCAAACGTTGAGGTTTCAAGGTTCGGCCCCCAAAAAGGTCAAGGTTTGGACCCCCCAAACGTTGAGATTTCAAAGTTTGGGCCCCAAAAAGGTCAAGGTTTGGACCCCCCAAACGTTGAGATTTCAAAGTTTGGGCCCCAAAAAGGTCAAGGTTTGGACCCCCCAAACGTTGAAGTTCCAAGGTTTGGACTCCCAAGCCCCGGTTTGACCCCCAAACGTTGAAGTTTCAAGGTTTGGACCCCCAAAAGGCGCAGGTTGGACCCCCCAAACGTTGAGGTTTCAAGGTTTGGGACCACCACTACTACTACTACCACCACCACCACCACCACAACCACCACCACAGCTACAATTACAACTACACTACATTACACTACATTACACTACATTACGCTACATTACGCTACATTACACTACATTACACTACATTACACTACATTACACTACATTACACTACATTACACTACATTACACTACATTACACTACACTACACTACACTAACTACACTGCAGTGCACTGCAACTACAAATACAACTACACTACATTACACAACACTACGCTACACTGATTACATTACATTATGCTACAGCTACAACTACAACTACAACTGCAACTACAACTAGTACTACATGACACTATAGTACACTGCACCCATTACATTACACAACACTACAACTACAACTTCACAACTTTACGCTACACTAGACTACGCTACACTATACCAAACTACAGTACACAACACTACGGTACACTACAGCACACTACACTACACTACACTACACTAATTACACCACACCACAACTACAACTGTAACTGCAACTACACTACACTAATTGCACTACATTACAACTACATCTCCACTACACTACATTACAACTACCACTACAACTGCACTACACCACACTACATCCAGCAGTTGTGGTGAGGTGACCACTGCAACCGGTGCAACCACTCCAAAAAAGACAGCTTCAACCACCTTTGGGTCCATCAATGGGTTCGCTCTGCCATCTGTGATTCACAACAACCAACCGCTCCTCTAGGTTTCCTATTTTTGAAAGTTCCGCCAACGCCTTGCGCGGCACTACTGGTACCTACCATAAACCATAGCAAAACCACTTATAAGGCACTTTAGATATCTTGGGGGCCCAATCCTGTACCATCCGGGTACCGTTTGGGTTTTAACCTATAGCCCCCAAGGGGGGTGGACTCCTCGGCCAGGTGGACCATGTTGGAGTGAAAAAATTCGCAGCCGTCTTCCGCAGTCTCGCTGAACAGCCGCGGTCCGGAGCCCTACAGAACTGATCTTTTTTTTCCTCAATTTGCTATGGCCGTCATAGGGATTCTGTAGGTATGATATATTCGGGGGTTTCGTGACCTACTCCGCGACATTTTGTTCAAAGATTAGCTATGACAAATGGCTACCCATGTCCTCAGATTGGAACCTACTTGTTTCGTCGGTTTCACAGGTTTCAATGCTAAGTCATCGTTTAATGACTGGATGATTTGGGTGTACGCATGCCAGATAAAATGCCAGAATAGAATGTCAGAAAATATATGCCGTATATACTTCCAGATGAGATGCCAGAAACTATGGCAAAATAATTTGTCACGGTGGGGATCACTCGATGTAAGGTAATTTGTTAAAAATCATTTTTTTGGCATTTAAATCGCGTTTCACACAAGATTATAATCATGAAAAGCAAGAGGTCAGCAACGATGGTCACTAAGTCCCTGGTCCAAATTCCATGATTCAGTTGGAAACCATCAGAAATCACGACCGTTTTTTGGTCGTTTCACCAGAGTTCTTCAGCACTTACTGGATTGATTCAAGGTACAAACCTACAGGAACCCGAAGTGTTTTTCCCATTCATATTGCACATGTTTCCCGAAACCAAACCAAATTTCGGCATCCGAAATTAGAGGATCATCCAGTTGTGATCCCAGGCGGTGGGCCAATGGTTATCACAAATGGCGGTACAAAAAAAATCAGCAATTGGAACCATTCTTGGAAATCCTCTGGCAATTTTTACATAGATGATTCTCCCATCGACATGATCGAAATGCCCTGAATGGGGATTTTCCAGCCATGTTTGATGACACTGCGGTTGATGACTTGACGACTTGTGGGGTCAAAGATTTTGAGATATTCCCTGAGGATGCTGCCGTCTCACCAGGGTTGCACACTGCACAGTGGATTGCCGGTTTTTCAGGCATTGCTGGCCCGGGCAATTCTTCAACGGCCGAGTCTGGGTCCATGTCACAACGAGTTACCTGCCGGGTGACTCAGGAGATGCCTGGGGCTAGGGTTGGGGTGCCAGTTATGTTTGTTAAAACCAACTCACTGCTTGGATATATCGTAAAACCAACATTTGACTTAACTTAGACACCAACTTAGCTAACTCTGGAACACGAAATTGTAGGAGTCCCCGGAGTTCCCCTTGTCTATAATTTATGGTTGAAGCAACAATGGAGCTAAGACCATCAAAATTGAGATTACTCAACTCTTTTATAGAATTATAACTATAACTATAAGCCCCATAATAGGTGTTAGAGTGAGTATTGTGGGAACAATGGTGGTTTTACATTTTAACCATCAAACCCCTTGGATGCCAGCGGTGTTTTTAGGCGATGTCACCAGCGAAGTGGGACTTTGACCTCAATTTATGGCCAATTTTCCGCGATGAACGAGATAATATGGTACAGTAAACCCAAAAATAAACCACCCCCAAATCACATTTTTTTTTTGGTTGGTATAAACTATGCCCAGATGGTAGGTTTATTCTTGAGTTTCCCATAAATCATTGGATTTTTGGGCTAACCTACTTTGGCCACATCTGATGGTGAACCCTGGAGGCGCTCGGGACCCAAAAAGCAGACATATTTGGGGATGGGTCAAACCCTATTAATGACCATATTTGGGTTTTTCACCATCCATTCATCAGTGATTTCAGGATATTGAGGGTACCAGGGTTTTGACCCACAAACAAATCTGGGGGCCGTGGTTTCAAACATTTTTTATTTTTCCATATAATCACCCTAACTGACTAATATTTTTCAGAGGGGTTGAAACCACCAACCAGAAATGGATAAAACCTAATTTTGTTCTCAACCGGATGGGATTGAAACCATCTGAAATCGTGGAAAACAAAGCAATGTACGATGGACTTGCAGGATGCCGACCTGTTTTTTTTTGATCAGAAACGAATGATGCTTGCAACATTATGAACGTTCATGGGAAGGACAATTTCGCTGTGAGAAAAAGCCATGGCCGAAATGGCCGAACTGTGGAATTCTCCCATCTGAAAATCCCGAAATGGGATGGTACAATGTCTTGATGGTGGGTCCCAATGGCAGTTTCGGTTGTGTTTTTTTTTTTCGAATTTTTGAGGGACCCCAAAATCGACAGTTTCATCTGGTCATTGTTTGCAGCCTCTGAAACCATCCATGTCTTTTTGCTAAAAGCCGATTGAAACAAACCAATGGTCCAGTGCCACAGGTCCGGATGCAGAAGCGTCAAAGGAATGATAGTTTTACGTATAGCGTGGAAGTCCCCTGATCATATGGTCACATCGTGTCCTCTATTCATCCCACTGCGAGTCGGGTCAAAATTCGTCAAGAAAAACAGTGACACAAACATAGAGAACACCTTCCTAAAGTCTCAAGTTCTCAATTTTTTCTTCCATCAAAATGAATTTTGACCCATTTTTCCAATTTTCACGGACTTCCACCACAAAAGGCACGGCCGGCACTACCAAGTTGCCATGAAAAAAGGCTCTGCCGACACCCGGTGCTCAGACACCATTGCCACGTTTCAGACCGGGGCCGATGTTGACCACCTGACCGTGTCAGGGATGCTGTCAGCCGGACCGGTGCCTTTTCCGTGTCAGCAGAAATGGCTGGAAATGGGACGATAGTATAGTGTAATATATCAATCTCTATAGATCGTATTGAGCATCCATGGTATCCTGTAGTATTCTGGCGACTGTAAAATACTCACAAAGAAGATAGGGGTAACTTTCCAACCATTTTATGGGGATATACAACATGTCATGTTTGTTTGTTCAAGAAGACAGGGCGATTCTGTTTTTTTTAAATGTGATTTTGTTTGGAATTACCTCAGTTTCTTGGGGGACATTCTTGTAGACGAGGAGGGTCATGCACAATGGGTTCCTTTTTGACTGATCCTTTTTGCATATGACAAAATCAGGACACCGTGTGAGTTGTTGCGTCTTTGTGCGTTTTGCTTGCTTTCTTGTTTTGTTTTTCTTTGGGCCCTTATTTGGCAAAAGTAACACAAGGGCAAACAATACCAGGAAAAGCAAACGACGACAACAAATTCACGACAGAATTCAGGACGTGGTGTTAAAACAAACGGTCCCAGTTTTTTTTTTCAATTCCTGAATTCCCGGCCCAAAAAAATTCTTTGCTGAAGATGGTTGATTTCATCATTCGTCCAAACTTTCTGCTGACCGAAGTCTCATAGCTTGACACATCTTTTGCGCAGAGGGCAAGTGGTCCTGGGTTGACACTGCCAGGCTTACCCCCAGACATGGCTTCGTTTTGCCTTGGGGGATGGCCATGAATCCACATAGGGAGTGGTTACATATTATACATATATATATATAGATATATAGATATATATTCCATTTTGATTCCATTATATCCCACTATATCCAATTGTATCCCGTGTGTTGATTGGTTAAATCCTATGATTCCTAAGCTTTGATATTTACTGAAAACAGTCCAACCTGGCACCGCTGGATGAACCGTGCAGCGAGTGAAACACTAATCGACATTTCCATGACTGGAAAAAAGAGGAGCCTGTGGTCTAAGAAAGGGGTATAATGTGGTTAACATAATAATAAACCACCCATTTGGGAATGGTAAACATACCGCCCATTTATGGTGTTCTTGGGGATGGTTTATGACATTGTTAAAACCCCATTAGTCTATATAGTGGTCAGTTCAGCTATGGCATTTTCACCAGACAATGGTGACAAACCAGTGGAGTTCCAGTTGTGAACGATTTGTGGTGCCATATTTCACCATAGTTTGGAGCTCCAACAAAAACTGGGGCTTATATGGATCATGGTTATATCAATTTGTAATTTCCAACTGGTGCACCCCCAAGTAGTAGAGTACCTTGGAAGATTGATCCAATGACGATCGTGATTTTGGCATGTTCTCCTGATCGATTTTTGGCAGTTTTTTTTTTTAATCCAGTTGCCACAAAAAAAAGACGACGTGATTGTCACCCTGACTTTACGGTAAGCTATCTCCGGGCTGCAGGAGTTCACCGATGGCTTGGTCCAAACAAAATGATCCATTTAACATCCTGAAAAAACGGGGAAGATGATTCAGGATGTTTATCACAGTTCATAGTTTATAATAGTTTGTGTATATATATATTATATATATATCATCCTTTTGCCTATTTCAATGATTTTAAATGATAAATGGCCACGCGGAGGTATCTCCCATCTTCAGACAAAGTCATCATGGGATATGATCGGTCACATGGCTAGAAATCCACAATCTATACCCGGCCTGGTAAACGTTTACAGTTTGCGAACTGGAACATGGCCCATAGAAATAGTGGATTTACCATGATTTACCCATTGAACATGGTGATTTTCCATAGTTTTTTGTATGTTTACCAGAGGGTATAGATTGTGGTCCGAGTGAACCCTCCATTTCTAGGTGGATGTTCAATGATCTTGCCATTTTTGCCTAGAATTTTCCCACCTTCTAGTTCGCAGATTTCCCAAGCATGTTTCAGTACCGGCTAATTGGATCAAGATGTTAGTTGTCCTGTTCCCACTGCAAGGGGATGAAAATCACGGGGGGGTTAACATTAGCTTCCAATGAACAACCAATATGTGCCATGATCAAGTTAGTTGGATTACAGTATACACCCAGTCATTGGGGAATGGGTGATCAATCCATTTTCATAGAGTTTTGATATACAGTGCGAGCCATTTTAAGCATTCACATCATGGGAGGGATGACCATATCACAATATATAACATATACCATGTTTTGACCATGGCACACGTGATGATACATGGTACCCTCTGGTAAACTAACAGTTTGCGAACTTGAAAATGGCCCAGTCGAAATCGTTGATTTACCCATTAAAAATGGTGATGTTCCATAGTTTTTTCTATGTTTACCAGAGGGTATATTTCACCAGCCCCTCGATTTTACCCTTGTCTATTCGCTGAAAAGCCATAGTTTCGCTGCAAAAGACGAAGACAAAACCAGTTAGCCATTGGTTCTTTCAGTCTTTCTTCCATTTTTCCGATATTGATGAATTGCAAGTGATTCACAGTCTAAGTATGTTTAAGTTACATTCATATATATATATATTATATATATATACATATCGATTTTATCTTTTTCCATCCCAATGCTGATTCCAGAGATATATTGCTCTCTTTTTCCATGACATGATTCCCACTGATTCCCACTGAAATATTCTCGAGGCCATTTCGGCCGCTGACCCCATCGCCATGCGAAGCTGCGGCGTTCGTCCCTGGCGCCTGGCCGCCTTTCCGATGCGGCGAGGCTTGACAGGCGGGCAATCGAAGGATCGAAGGGCCAAGAATCAGAACGGGAAATCACTACTGTTGATGGAAGAAATCCTGCACCACCTTGGATGGTTGAAACCCTATAAATAATGGGATAAACCACCTATCAACTGGTGCAGGATTTCTTCCATCAACAGTAGTACCCTCTGGTAATTTAACGGTTTGCTATTGAAAATGACCATAGACATAGTGGATTTTCCCATTAATAGCATGGTGATTTTCAATAGCAAACTGTTAAATTACCAGAGGGTAACACCCAAAAAGATGTCGCGAAGATTTTTTTGATCACGATTTTCAAGTAGGGATCGACGAATTTGATCTTTTTTGGACTGACGGGGAAAATGCACAGATTCAAATCCGGTTTTGGGTTGAAACTTTGGAAATTTGCCCATTGCGCAAGAAGAAATGAGACCATCCACAGGAAAGAAGATCACTGTAGCGAAGCCCTGAAAAAAGTCGAGTAAATTCCAATGCATTTCCAGGTGACAAATCATGTCCCTTGTAAATATCCATGCTGGTTGGTGGTTTGGAACATTTGGATTATTTTTCCATATATTGGGAATGTCATCCCAACAGACTAACTCCATCATTTTTCAGAGGGGTAGGGCTCAACCACCAACCAGGATTGGTTCCAAATCTGTTTTATCTAATCTTTATCTAATCTGTAATATTGCCAGATTAGATAAAGTTGAGTCCACACTTTGGGCCTTTCACAGATCACAGCGATCACAGCCTGGCAGATCGCTTCACTGACCATCCTTTTGGTACACCCGAAAGAATATATCACAGTCTCTCAGTCTTGCAATCTTTGAATGGCTAAGGGTTGATATGTATATACATATACACATAATATATATATAATATTATATATAATATATATATTATATAATATATATATATTATACATTATATATATACATACATATTGTATATATATATATATATATACATACCTATATTTATATTGTATATACATACACACATATATATATATATGTCTTTTTTGTCATGGAATATCCGCTGTCTCACACAGAAAAAAAACTGGGTTTTGATCTATGTGAGTCTGCGGGTTCAAAAAATCACTGTGTTGGTTGTTGCCATGGCCTATGGTCAACCTTTTTTGTGGATGGAATCTCATGTATATTATTATCCATTGAGATGTTTCATGTCCCACATGCAGCTTCACTCCCAGTTTTAGAATGATGCTTTAATTGGGTTTAAGATGGTTTAAGCATCAAACATGGTGATTCAATGGGATATTCGTAGTTTTTTTTTAATGGTACACTGATATTAGTGATTTTCAACCGAATATCAATGAAAACCAGATTTGAAAACAATTACCTTCGATTTTCATTGATCCCTCTATGGGCATTGCTTCATGACTCATGGGGTTAATTTTCAACCACATATTTGGGACCAAAGTATATGGGGGGATGGGATCACTTTCTAACGGTCTATTTCGCACGTCCCTAACGGCGGTCACATGGCTGGAAAATTCACCGATTTTCCCAGCAAAAAACACCTAAATTTATAGGGGATTTCCTATATACATACGTATATACATACGTATATATATATATACTAATACTAATACTATGTATATATATATATATATTACAATATTATACATGTTCCCAATTTTTATCAGGATTTTGTCCCACATTTTTGTGGAAAAAACCCGGGTTTTCGCCACCTGGTGTGAGGCCCAGCGAGGCTGCACACCCGTCTGCGGCTTCCACGAGAAACCGCGGACGTGCCAGAGGATCGGACCGGGTGGCGATCGAGGTGGCGATTGAATCGTCTCCCAGAAAACACCTAAACAACTATGGACAAATTATGGAACAATTATGGACAAAATATGGAAACATTATGGACAAAATATGGAAACATTATGGAAAAAATATGGAAAAATTATGGAACGAATATGGAAAAAATATGGAAAACATATGGAAAAAATATGGAACCATTATGGAAAAATTATGGACAAAATTATGGAACAATAATGGAAAATTGTGGACACATTATGGAAACTATGGAAACAAATTGAGGATTCTGCTCTTGAAAATTGTGGGACTTAAACCAACACAGATGAGTAGTTTTTTTTTTTTATGGGGATATATGAAAGTAATTGGATATACTGGGAGAATATTCAGCCAGGTCCATGGGGGCTTCATCCTTTAAGAAAAACCCTCCTGTAAACGTTTAGAGGTGAAGAATATACCATGAATGTCGATCATTTTTCGAAGAAACACCATGGCTTTTCCACATCTTTTTGCATGTTTACCCTAGGGTAACATCGCCAAAGAACATGTTGAGCCCGGTCATCGTTGTAAAATGCTAAAAATCATCTGAGTCAGTGGGCCAGTTTCATGTTCAATTATCAGAGGGTGCGCTAGAAGAATGGGTGTTCAACGTTCAACCATCAAACATGAGCTTAACTGCTTAACCGACAAAATGTGGGGAATATATGAGATCAGATACAATGTGAAATTGCAATTACACCATGGGATATTTATGGGAAGATTAATTAAACCATATGGGGATACCATGGAATATTCATCATATTGCTTAACCATAAGATAAACATATTGTGGCCAATGATGGAAATAGTGGGATCATGAGAACAATGACAGTAACAAGGATACTCTGGTAATCAAATGTGGCTGGCTTGAATTTCCCCTATACCCTCTGGTAAACATACAAAAAACGAACTGGAAAGATCCACCATATTTTCAATGGGTAAATCCACTATTTCTATGGTCCATTTTCAATAGCTAACCGTTAGTCATTTCCCCTATAAATGGAGAGTTCCATGGGAAATATTGGGAGTTCCATGGTGGACTTTCCATTGCCATGATCGCAAATGAGTGCTGTTTAGAAGGATGACCATGGCCAGGCAGTTTAAAACTATAGCGTTGACCCTCTAATCTGGACAAAATCCAAGAAAAAGGGTCTACATTCCGAAGTGGATTTTCGATATCTATGTTGGTTTACTGGAGCATAGGAAAGTCAATTTCTTTTAGCCTATATCTTAGTGCAAAAACAAGGTCACGCCGCCTGTAACGGCCCTGCTGTTTTTTCATCTTTTCATTCGCAGATTTTTGTGTCTTTCGCAACCCTCACAGCGTTTTCTTGGTCTGCCCATTTGTTCAGTAGCTCATATTGGTATGCGTTTTACAGTGTTTTATGTCTGTGAAGTCGTAATTCCAATGCGTTTATTCATGATTTTGAATTCCTGAACGCAAAAAAAACTGGAATTTTTCTTAACGACAACATGGAGAACAGCTCAGGCAGTCCAAGTCTTGTGCGCTAACTTTCCTAAGCCTTTCAGCTGGTGCTTTCCAAGTGTATTGGATCGCCAGACAAAACTGTACACATACTCGGCAATTTTTTCATTCAGCAGTCCATTGGGTGTCTTAGAACACAGTTCCTTGGGGATATACCGTTTCAATGCTGACCATTTCTTGTCAATGCACTGCGTGCCATGCGTCTTGTGTCCCCGTTTACGCGTTTTACGCGTAAATTCCATTTTGACATGACTGACCTGAAAACATTTTCGGCCCAAGGACTTACTGTGACTGGCCCATGATTTGTTTCCATCTGCAAAAATATGAGACTTTGGCAATGTACGTTCTAACAACTGACATGATTTCACATCATTCAATGACTCTACCGGAGGGCGTCCAGAAGGGCTTGTCATGACATGGGGAAGCTCAGAGATCAAAAAGCGGCCGCGCTGACCGCGTTCCAGAGCTCCCGCCCAGCGCCAAAACAGCAGAAGGTATTTCTTCTTCTCTTTGGGGTGCGAGCCGCGCCATTGAGCAATCTCTTGCTGAAAATTCCTGACGGGTTCAGGTGTCTTGCTGATTTGTGTCATTGTTCTGAACTTGTTTCTAACGAACAATCTTGTGGGATGCCGCCAAGCATGTATTCAAAGAACATGGACGCCAAGGCGCGCATTCTTCAGGGAAATAGGCACTTTGCGTAAAGACGTCGCGTCCACTTCCACATGGCCTTTCAGCTTCCATTTTTGCTCCTGGCCGACACCATTGGTAAGCACACTTTTGCCACATGAAAGCTGCCAAGAGTCACTGACATGCTGGACGGACAAAAAATAATCATTTGCGACCATTTTCGCATGACAGACATTCCTCATGTCGCGTGGCTACTCGTTAATGATTTATCGCAGTCCTGACACATGGCTCGACCTTCTTGGTTTTCGAGGAGTCGCAAGCAGTGCATGACCTTGCAGACTGTGTCATAGTCCTTGCAGACCTGAGTGAATCGCGTGTTCTTCAATGACATGATTACTTTCATGTAATATACAACAACCTATGGGAAAGTCAACGCTGAAACTTCTCAGTTTTGGCCAGGCACCATGGGATGAGCATGTCCTGGTCGAGGGTAGGTCTTGGACAAGTATGCATGTATGATGCCGAGAAGGGAGCTAGGATGCAGAAAGGTGAAGCGCTTCATGCCTACCAGCCAATTCTGGAACTTCATCACATTGACAAGCGTCTGGCATTCCCAGTGGGTACAGCGATAGAACAAGCTGTCAGCACATTGCACATCATACCTCTTCACAGGTCCAAGCATTTGACCCACTTTGCAAGTGGAACACCTGTCCGGGACTGTGAGAAAGCCCAAGGCAGTCAAAGTAGCCAATGCAGCCTCTCCCTTCTGCCATCGTTCATCCAGAGCGTATGTTCGATCCTTGCGATTTCCAGTTTGAAACACATCGCCCGAGTACGAGCGTCGAGCTCGTTGCTTGCGAACTTTCTGAGACACTGCCGGCTTCTTCTTTCCTGGCTTGCGCACCATCTTGCGGGCCTTGGCCTCACCATTGCCTCGGCAGACTCGACTTCCTCGAGTCTTCAAAGCAACATGTTGCTGGCGCACCAGCTTTCTAAACTCAGCGGCTCCGCGAAGCTTGCATGTGGCAAGGGTGTGCTTAGCACTGCCACATAGCCGACAGGATTTCTGTTGGTTTGGGGGCATGTCACCCCATTCGAGCCTTCAGATGTACCTATTGATTTATTTATTTATCTATCTATCTATCTATATATATATATATATCCTAATGCGGTGGC